CCCCAAAACCCCAAAACCCCAAAACCCCAAAACCCCAAAACCCCAAAACCCCATAAGCAAAAGACACTCAAAATTATATAATTAATTACAAAAAACTCAAAAGGGTGCATATGTCTAATCTTCGGACTATCGCACTCATCTTTGCCGTTGGCCTAATAGTAAACTTTTTACATGGGGCCTTTTTCGGCATTGATGAGGAGATAGCTTCTGAACCTCCTTCTAGCCCTGCTGAAATTACCAAAGAATCTGATGGCATACAGTATACAGTGCCTCAAACCCCAGATCCTCCTGAAGCTACAGAAGATGACCTATTCGAGGATAACTCTGCCTTAACAGAAGATGACAATGATTATTTCGATGAGGTAGTCGAACCTGAGGGTTACCAACATAAACAACGTAAGCCTATTTTTATTAATTCTTTAGAAGATTCACATAATTTCAAGCAGCGTAAGAGAGGTGGGAAGCAATCTCAAATAAACACAGTCTTTGTTCAATACTGTACATCATGATCGTACAAACCGGCTTTCGATAATATTGCACAATATATCGAGTCGAAAAATCCCACTGTTGTTGTGACTGGAGAAGAGTATCCTCCTTCTTCCACGAATCAACTCCTATCCACTCTTCTAGGAGTGGCTCAAATCGTAGTTGTAGTTTTAATTACATTCGGAGAGACAATCTTCCAAAAACTAGAGATGCCAATTCCACCGATCGTTGCTCAAATGCAAGAGAACAAGCTCATGGTTGGAATCGGATCATTCTTATTGGGAAACATGATCAGAGGACAACTCCTTGCTACAGGCGCCTTCGAGGTCTTCTTTGACGGAGAACTTGTGTTCTCTAAGCTCCAGACAGGCCAGATGATAGATGAAAGTATGATGGTCAGTCTCCTTCAAAGTTACAAGGTGGTTTAATCTATTTACTACGGTTAAATCTAAGATGTGAAGATATTCAGAGCCAATTAATGACAAATACCTGCCAAAATTTTCCGCAGTGTTTTCGAAATCCATTGGTTCAAGTACAATATCCCACACTTTGGATTGCTAAAAATGCTAGTTCAATATTAAAATTATCAAAGGGGTTTTGGGGTTTTGGGGTTTTGGGGTTTTGGGG